TGGTAGGTAAGATGGGGAAGGGGAGGGGGCCGTAACAAGAAACACTCTAGGGGGGGGGAGGGTCGCAGACCTCGACCAACCAATGATGTGCCTTGGTTGCAACATACCGACCCGGACGCCCACCGTGACCGCCCTCCCACATTTGTCCGACCGGTGCTGGTGCTCGAATCGCTTCTTATGCGAAGTACACTGCACTACTACAACTGGGAATTTTCGCTGCATCAAGCGTACAAGGGGAACACAGTATGCGTTGAGCTGCAAAACGGGTCCTTCGCGAAGTGGTCTTCTAGGGGTGCACTATGCAGTATAGGACAACTTCAACGCAGTCCTTTAAATAGCGTCAATTTTCTGTTTTCTGAACTGTCCGCCTGCTTCGGGCTTCAGTGACCTCTGCACCTCACACATTCCACTCTCACGCTGATAACTGCCTCATCCTTCCCGGAGTCCCCTCTTCATGGAACAATTATCCCCAGGTTCGCCGCTGGTTCTCTCCCACGCTTTGATGCCTAGTCAGCTGCTACCTTTATCTACTTACTGAGGGTTTCACAATAAGACCGTGAAGAAAAATTTGGTCACGTAACCCACCCGCCATTCGAGCAATTCACAGACGCCCAGCACGCCATGCGGCCAGTCACACGTGCAGCCGTAGCCACGCGCCCCAGTTGTTCGTCCCTTCTCATTTATAACTGAACTCACTTTCCCCAAAATTCGTTTACGGCGGTATATTAACACGATTCATGCGAGACGTAATCGCTCAGGCGCCTAAGAGCGCATTCAGACTTCGCGATCTGATCCACTTCGCGCGATCGCGAAGTCTGAACGCGCTCTGAGTGAATGTGTTGGTAATATTCTCGCAACATATGACGTGCTCATTGCATGGAATAAGTGGCGGACATCAACGACCTGCTTCCGTTGCTTATAGAAAAATTCCTCTTAGGATGTAATAATCTCGCTCTCTATAATCCGCTATGTGATTAAGTAAGTGGGTTAGTGAGTGGTATATATTTGGTTTCTGACAAATACTGGATCGCGTGACACACATGATGTGTCACGATCTTCAGAAGCTAAAATTTCCCTATGTTTTCACTCCTGCGCTTATCCTTTGTGTCGTTATATATCCCTGTAGCAGTACAAATCCCTGTATATGGTTGGGTCATAGAAAGCTTCAGTAGATAGTTTGTAAAACGGTATTTTAAAGTTCAGCCAATTCATGAATTCACATGCTCTCGAAATGCATTGCGCACAGAACAGTTTACTATAACCAGACCTACTGAGGTCATTCGGTGTGTCGCGGATGCGACGGTCGCCGTTGGGCGCACCTCGCGCCCCGGCCCATCCGCGCTCGGTTCCCACGGCGTGCGCTTCACGTGCGCCGTGGTTCCGCCCCCTGCGGTCGTGGCCAGTATAGTACGTCCGTGGCTGGCAGCCGGTGCCGGTTGGTTTTCACCGGGTAACGCCAGGACAGCGCCCAAGGCGGAGGGGTGAAGCCCACTCCGAAGCCGGAGGCAGCCCGAGCGCCGGCCATGAGCCGGCCGATGTCCATCCCCTGCTCCCCGACTGGGAGCAGCCTCTGCTCCAGCCCCGACAAGGACATCGACGACCGCATGGAGCGATGAGGGCTACCGCCGGCAGGATGGGGGCCTAATACGTATGAGGGGATGTAGCCTACGGGCCTATTGCGTACTCAGAGGGGCAACGGCCATGGGGGCCTAATGCGTGCTCAGCTATGGAACGAAACCCATGGAGAACGGCGGCCAGGGGAGAACAATCATTGTAGTACGGTGAGTAGTTCGTTAATAAATGATGTAGATTATTTAGTGTTTTGTTTGTTATCATAATGGTATTTACCATGGATGTTTCCTGTATTGCTATGTGTTACTATGTGTTGGTGGTACCATGGTGGTAGGTATACGGGGGTAGGACCACGGCCTCGTGCGGCGCGGTACGGTGGAGGCCGTGGTGGACTTGAGGGACGGCGGTCTCGTGCGGCACGGTACGGTGGAGACGCCGTGGACGGTAGGGGGTCGGTAAGGTGCCCGCCGTAGGAAAACCCCATGGTCCCCGGGGGGTTAGGTCCACCCTTCCTGTGCGGGTGCGCAGGAAGGGTGTGGTAGAGCGATGGGGACGCGGGAGCCGCGGTTACCACCGATGTCGATCGCGCAGTAGGGTGCCACGGTCCGCGACACATACATTAAGGCATTTTGACGACACATTCTCTTATCGTCTGCTCCATATGGCGCCAGTGAGCGCCGGTTTGGAGGCGACCTTTTTCGCCGAATTGAAAACAAAAGTATGCGTTGGGGGCATGATCAAGAATCCTGACCATAAACGTAGCATTCGTTTCTGAATCTGGAGCTTTTTGGCGCCGTTTGGGCCAGCTTGTTATGGCATCTTTCACCGAATTCGATCTATATATGCATTTGGGGTTATCGAGGTTTCTAAGTTCTAGTACGTTCAACGGTGGTACCACTCGGCTTTAGAAGGCGCCAGTCTGACGTTAGGGCATTCTTCACCAAAAAACGATGTAAGCTTACGAACCATGATAATGCAGATCCAGTGCATATTCGTTCGGCTCCGATGAAATTTCAAATTATATTGATGTGTGTGAAGAGGGTCGCTGTTCCAGATTGGCGCGGCGTCAGAATGAATGTCATATTCGTAATCGTGATTCTGGAATACCTCCAAATGCAAAGTTACGCCGATTTCTCTGAGAACGATCATGGCGCCGAATTGGCTCCCAGTGGCGCCAGATTGCGCCGGCGTCCAAAAGGAATGTCACATCCATGAATTACCTCCGAATTACATCCATGAATTACTTGCAAGGTGAAATTACCTCCGCGTGCAAATTAATTAATCAGTAAGAGAAAAAATCGCGATTGAAACCTGCCCGGTGCATACATAGTTTGTCATGGCAGCCTCGCATCGAAAAAGGCCACAGCCACACGTGAACGCCACGCGAAATAGGCGTCGGTCCGGAACTTGTTATTAAGTGTTTTTTATCTTCCTAGGCAGGTCTGGTACCAAGTGGCTGGTACCAAGACCAGGATAGCTAGGTGGGTTAGATGCTTTGGAGTTACTAGCTCAAGTATGCGAAGAACCCTATTGGGAATGTGACAATAGCTGCGCTATTAGAGAACGTGCGAGTAAGTGTTCAGCACCAGAGAGCAAGCTTGCTGCTTGCTGTCACAACTTTTTATGGGAATTCGGGCCTGCACAAATGATGAATTGTTTTTTTTATTTGCTTCAGCCATGACATTCATTTAGAACACAACAATAAGGAATTCCAGTTGATGATAAAATATTTCAATGACAACGTTGGCACTCTTAGTGGAAGGAAGTGCCTGCTCTTGGGGACGATTGGCTGTTGCTCATGGAAGCGAAACAATAAATGATGTTATTCGAGCATTGGTATGTTTGTAAGCTTTTTCTTCTCTTTTCGAATGACTTAAACAAGTAGAACTATCTTAAGTGACTCTCTTGACTTATTTACAGATTTCATTTGCGAACGCACACCTCTCAATGTCTGCTTTGAATCAATTGCTGTTGTTTGCGTTTGCAAACAAGATAAAGAAAAGAGTCAGTTAATCACTTGCCTTTTTTGTTGTTCTTGTCATTACAATTTCTTCTTTACGTTCATTTTGATATTCAACAATGTTTTAAACTTTTTTATATTACCACAGCTCCACGTTCAGGCTCTAAATTTTGTTCCTTGGGAGTTGGGGCACTCCGATTAAGAGGGAGCTTTGTAATGTAATGCACCCATCGTAAACGATCCCAGATCAACAAGAAGGAATCCTACTGCGTACAACCCCGTAAGCTTGCCTATTATGATATGTAAGAGCGCTCACATCTGTAAGGCAGCGTTCAGACTTTGCGATGACGCGCATCGACGCGCTACCACTACAAAGCGCTCCAGTGCTACACAGGAGAACATAGCCATAGACGCGTATCCCACTACTGCTTTGAGAGAGTATGAGAGAGCAGGAGGGTACAGGTTACCTACTAGTACCCTTCTGTTCTTTCATACTCTTCTAAAACACTAGTGGCCGGCGCCCATCGATATCAAACAATGTGGTTAGGCACGCGTACCCTCCTGGTTTCTACCAGAGCAGTAGCGGTCGGCGCTGATCGATATCAGTCTGCAGCGGCATTTCCGGGTTTTACCATGGTGGCGTGTCGACACGCGATGCAGCGCCTCATCGCGAGGTCTGGACACCGCTTAAGGGATATATGCAGCAGAGGGAGGATATGAATGATGTGCGATGAAAATGACCTGAAAATGGCCGACCTAATTTGTGCTTATGTGTGCGTGTTAAGTTGGAATTCAAAGCGCACGTCGTGGGAACTGGGGCCTCGGTTCATAGGGGACAGAACGGGAACACTGTTGATGGGTGACAGGAAATAATATCAGCTGATAAGAGCTGATGAAAAGTGTTAGACAGGAGGTGCTGTAATTAATAGCGCAGGTCACAGTAAGGCCCCAGTGTTTCTCTGGAACGCAGCGGTTCGGCGAAAAGCTTTTGATACGTATCGACGGGCGTTTCGCCAAACCGCGACGTTTTTCGCCTTCGACGAAACGCTAGCTCGATCGCCCGTTTTTCGCCAGCGAAATCGATACGCATTTATTGCTTTCGCCCAAACTAGCGGTTGGCGATTCTCCGATCGATGACTATTTTTTGCTTTTCTCCCAACCGCCGTTTCGTCAGGGTCGCAGACTGTGAACAATGCCTAACTGTAGCACGTTGGTTTTAACAAGAGTCATGATGGTACAAACGGGGATTTCGGCGGTGGATCTGGGATGGTTTCGGCGTTTCGTCGTGGAAGTACAGTTTTCACATTAGCAAATAAAGAAGGTACAGTAGGGTTACGATGATGAGGAGTGGCAGGTGATTAGCCATTGATAGGGACGTACAAGCGTCAACATACTATGCTTCGTCATGCTCGATTGAACTGCACCACAGCTCAGTTATCAGAGGCTGTAAGTTCAATGGTCGAACACCCCTCCTAATCCGATCACTTCATTCTCATTTCAAAATTGTTAGCATTGGATCTCGATCCCTAGATTTCCCATACTAGAAATGGTCAGTTCTTATACAAACATGTTTACAATGGTCAACAACAAAAATGATCAGGGAGAGGTGGGTAAGATTCCGAGTGATTGGAGGATGGGAGGCGTTCACAGTGCAGATATCATCATTCGTTAGCTTCGGAGAGTTCACCGTGCAGTGCTCGCAGTTGTGTACGCTGGCCACACTGGATTGTATACATACTGACCGGCTTTATTGTCAACTATTTCAGCTGCTGTATAATTCGCGACGTGGAGGTGCAGCAGACGCATCCGCAGCAATGTTGAATGCGTTACGTGATACTCTCCGGGACAGCGCTAATTCAGACGACGATAGAGTAGGAAGTCCGTTGGCAGCCGTTCTTTCTCATGCTATTTGTCGTGAGTTCATCATCTTTCAGTCATCATATCTTTCTTTGTTTAAACCTCGATACAATTTTCAGTTCAGATTTGAAACGAGCAGACGCTATGTCGACCACCAATGGGGATTCTGCACAAGTTTCTTGCAGTGGGAGAGTAGTTATTATTGCTCTGACAGTTGACTTCGGTACAGAACATGGTAAGCAGTTCTATCAACTCCATAGCGTTCTTTCTGAATCAGACAGATTTCAACTTTGCTTTCGTTTGGGTCTCACTTTTTCGATAGGAATGGCTTGATGAAGGCGGGTAATTGACACCACCGCCATGGGAGACCTTGTTGACGTGCACGAAGTTTGATCCTGCTGAACGTTATTACAGTGATATCATAAATACATCTTTCATTGCTTTATATCCATTATTCGATACTGTTTAGAACGGCAAGAGGGCTAGTATTAGGCATTGTTCACAGTCTCCAGGCCCTGACGAAACGGCGGTTGGGAGAAAAGCAATAAATAGTCATCGATCGGAGAATCGCCCAACCGCCCAACCGTCCAACCGCCGCGGTTGGGCGAAAAGCAGTAGATGTGTATCGATTTCGCTGGCGAAAAACGCCACCGCGATGGAGCTAGCGTTTTGTCGAAGGCGAAAAACGTCGCGGTTTGGCGAAACGCCCGTCGATACGTACCAAAACCCTTTCGCCCAACCGCCAGTCGATATGTATCGAAAGCTTTTCGCCGAACCGCCGCGTTTCAGAGAAACGCTGGACCGCAGAGTGTGAACAATGCCTTAACGTGAGTGAAACGGTGAAAGACTGGTCAATGGTAATCCGAGATTCAAAACAAAACTGTACCCTGCTCATAGGTAATGGGCGCCGCAGCTGCAGTACTTGTCACTTTTCTATCTCTCCTACGAGCATGGCGAAGCCGGCTGGAGGGTCGTGGTACTTGCCGTTAGGGGTCCGCCCGTGCTGTCGCACGACCGGCCACACGCTTTACTATAGCCAAAACGCGCTACTTGTCTACACTCTCACAAGTCTAGTTGCTCCCTTCCTTCGGCTGTTGCTTGCTGTGGAATTTTCTGTAGCGGACACAAGTGTTGAGGATAACGGCCGGCCGGGTCCCAAATGACATCCAGGTATACTACCTTTTGCACCGTCCTTCTCGCACGTGGAAGGACCATCCATGGGAGGGATTGCAAATATTGCCTTCAAAGTTTTTTTTTATTATCTAACGGACTATGGGCATGTGGACTATTATAACAATGAACAACAAAAACCGGGAAGACTTCAAATGAGAGAACACTATTATAAGGCAAATTAAAAGCACTAGCAATAAGATAAATCTGAGGTAGAATGCAACTGGAGAACAATAAGAAACCAAGAAGACAACTAGCTGATGTCCTTGAGATAATGGGAGACTTCTCGTCTGAAGGAGCAATAACTAATAGGAGAGGGAATGTGTTTGCTAAACTTAGCGTACTCGCCGCCAGCCCGCTGAGTGAAGAAGTGACTACGAACTGAAATCCTGGCCTTACTAAAGCGCAGCTTGATGCCCTCACCTCTAGTAGAGGAGGCAGAAAAGGAGAAGAGTTTAGCGGCAGCAAAAAGCATGGTACCCTGTGTGATTTTGTACACGGTTATTAAATCATTTCTCAACCTACGCTTTTTCAGAGAATCCAAGCATAGCATCTTATTCCGCATATCTATATTGTTTGTAAGTTTGTTTGTAAGTTTGTTTGTAAGTTTGTTTGTAAGTTTGTTTGTTTGTAAGTTTGTTTGTCTGTCCGGAAATTCGGTTCGACCTGAAGAACGACTTGGAGAGGTCGGGTCAAGGTGGGGATGGGTAGAGCATGGGACAAGAAACAAAAAGCACACTTGACCTATGCGAAGCCCCGCCCACTGTGGGCGGGGCACTCACTGAAATTTTGGGTTTCACAGAAAAATGTTCATAATTCGCTTCCGGAGCAGCCTAAGATGGTGAAAAAGGGAATAAGGTTAGTAAGGAGTCGCCAGACTAACTGTGGCAGACACATCCAAAATGGGCGGGGCGTACTCAAGGTGGGCGGTGCTTCGCATAAAACTCAGTAACTCGGTTCGCGAGAGTGTTCAGAAGCCGCAAAAAGCTCAGTGCAGAATGTAAATATCTGGCGAGTATTGGGCATGCCCAAAGTGTGTTGAGATCCGCCCACAGTGGGCGGAGCTTGCCCTAAACCGCAGGATACTCACTTTAAAAGTTTGTAGCTCGGTCCAGAGCACTGCAAAGACCGGAAAAACGTGCGTAAAGGTCGGCAAAGGTTCGCCGGTGAGGACTGTGGGGCAAAAACATTGTGGGCGGAGCCTGCTCCGAGGTGGGCGGAGCCAGACAAAAGGTCTGTAAAACGGTTCCAGAGCACTCCGAAGACCGGAAAAAAACGTGAATTAAGGTCAGCAGAGGGTCGCCGGTGAGGATTGTGGGGCACGAAAATTGGGGGCGGGGCCAGCCCGAGGTGGGCGGAGCCAGAAAAATTCTCCAAAACTCTCCCAGAGCACTCCGAAGACCGGAAAAAAGTGGATTAAGGTCAGCAGAGGGTCGAAGGTGAGGACCGGGATCGAGGGCAAAAACGTTGTGGGCGGAGCCTGCTTCGAGGTGGGCGGAGCCAGACAAAAAGGTCTGTAAAACGGTTCAGAGCACTCCGAAGACCGGAATAAAGTGAATTCAGGTCAGCAAGGGGTCGCCGATTAAGAAATGTGGGGTATACATGTTGTGGGCGGGGCCAGCCCGAGTTGGGCGGAGCCAAACAAAAATTCTCCAAAACTCTCCCAGAGCACTCCGAAGACCGGAAAAAAGTGGATCAAGGTCAGCAGAGGGTCGCCAATGAGGATTGTGGGGCACGAAAATTGGGGGCGGGGCCAGCCCGAGTGGGCGGAGCCAGACAAAAATTCTCCAAAACTCTCCCAGAGCACTCCGAAGACCGGAAAAAAAGTGGATCAAGGTCAGCAGAGGGTCGCCAATGAGGATTGTGGGGGCACAAAAATTGGGGCGGAGCCTGTTTCGAGGTGGGCGGAGCCAGACAAAAACTCTGCAGAACGGTTCCAGAACACATCAGACACCGGAAAAAAGTGGATTAAGGTCAGCAGGGGGTCGCCTGTGAAGAGTGCGGGGCACAAAAATTGAGGGCGGGTCTGCTCTGAGGTGGGCGGAGTCAGACGAAGAATTTGTAAAACAGCTCAAGAGTACTTCAGACACCGGAGAAAAGTAGAGTACAGAACAAAAGGCGGATATCAGTTGAGTCTAGAAATATGTGAGAGAAGGTACGCGCGGCGACCCGCCGGCGCCGGGCCGTATAGAAGGAGCCGCGCGCGGCGTCAGCGCGCGAGGCGACTGGTTTCTAATAATGGCGTGAGGAATACTGTTGTAGGAGTAACCAAGAGCCCTTATGAAAACCTTCCTGGTGAAACTGTTTTGAACGCGTTCAATGGTCTGAATGGCATTCTTCTTATAAGGAAAAAATACACACGTCCCATATTCCAAAATAGGTCTGACGTACATTTTGTAGGCCCTGATCAGAACGAGGGGATCCCTGTTTCTCAAGTTGGAATGTATCTGATAGCACAACGATTGCAAGGTCCTAGAAAAAATCAAATTTGTGATTCTCAAACTACGCCGATGAGCTTTAAAAGATGGATACTGTAGTAGAATCGTAAGAGGTGGGTCAGTCATAAAATTGTGGGCGCATATCGACTTGTTAATCAAGGAGCGGAAGAAACCGTCGAAATAGATGTGGCTCGACTGTGAGCGAGTATACCGTAAATAGGGACGCAGCGAGAAACCAGACAGGGCTGGAGCCTTGCAGCTGCACATGGAGGGCGTGGGGGGGGACGGGAATCAGTAGCAACACCACGCAACCTGAAATTTACCGAAAACCAGCTTTTGAGGCGCGGTGGGGTTTGTTTGTTGCAAACGCCCAGCGCATTTGACGCGTTGCTCAAACTTAATGGAGCACCGTAAGCGGCTGCACACTCGCAATTCTTTACGAAAGAAGGGCCTATCTCTCAAATCACGCGGAAGGTTTTCCCATAGACGACCTTGCACATTGTGATAAAGCATACGCGGGGAGCGCAAAGGTTTTTGGCGAATGGAATTATACATGACCATTTTCAAAGCGCTGTCATGAGCACTAACAGCGCAACTAATAGAGGACTTTATCTGAAGCCGTAAGCTGATTTTGACATAAAAGTAGGTCGAGCCTGTAACAGCTCACCACGTTGCTTCATGTGGTAGCACAAAAAATAGTGTTGCCGCGAGCTGTCCAATGCTGACCCCTCCACCTCCAGTCCCATCTCCACCACCATTTTTAGTTGGAAATCTGAGTCCTTTTCCTGTAATTCATTCGTTTCTTCAGATGGATGATGAACGTGTTGAACTTAGGTCGCTGATCGAACGGCTGTTCTCTCTGCTGAAAACCATGGAATTGTGTTGACGTAGTTTTCGCTTTGTTGAAGACCGAGGTCGCTCTTCTTCAGCAGGCCGCTGACATAACAATGGAATTTTCCTGAAAGCTGAGGCGGCGCCGTCCAGAACTCCTATCTCAGGCATGATGGTTAGTAAACATGTTGCTCATTTAGGTTTTTCGCTGGAGCTTCCGGAAGATCAATTCACTGGTCCAACTAGTTAGCTAGCTGCTTTTTATTGTATTGGCTTACATAGTTCAGCCATGACTCGTTAAAGTGACGTCCATGGAAGTGGGTCTTGTCACCTTAGCTGGGTATCACATTGCTCGCTGTCCCTCCGCTCATGTCGCGGAGTTCCTATTTTTGGGGTTGATGTGCATCAAGCGAATCACCAAAGCTGGTCACTGTTTCAGTATTGAGCCTCCGTTTTGCTTAGCCTCTGCAAACGGGCAGTGGTCCAGGTTCCAGTTGAACAAAAGGAAGTTGTGAAAGCGAAATTTCAATAGCCTGTGTTTGCCCTTTTTCTAAGAGCGAGGGAAGGGGAGGCCGCGGCGGGGAGGAATCAACTTTTAATGTGGCTCACTCTTGTAGCGAGTTTTTTCACGATACTTGTGAACAGCGCCGTCCTTTTCCTTCTTTCCTTCCCTTTCCTTTACTGCTTTGCCCTCTCCCATTCGCTTGTCCTTCCCAACTAGTGGGCGTAGATGGCGGTGAAGAAAATGCCTCTGGACTTTGACAGCGAGAGCATGGTAGGTGGACAGAAGCCCTGTAAACGCTGAGGCTGCGCTACTGTGTATTCTATTGCCTACGGTTGTCCGGTCTGTCGTCTGTGTCGCTGAGCGCCTCTGGGTCCTCATAAGAATTCTCTTCACCGCAATCGCCTGCTCCAACGCTGACGGTCATCGAACTTATTTCGATATTTGCGGTTCTTTCTATTTTTCTTCTTAGTGGTGAAATACACTTTTTCTATCTTCTTCTTCCTAGTGTTAGTCCGCCATGCGTCGCAGGGTAGATGTTTCTTGGTAGGCGTTCGCACTTGCTCCGATCCACTGCATGCTTCCTCTGCGTGGTTTCACTCATGAGGTAGGCTCCTTGGATGACGTCCTTCCATCTTTTTTCTTTGGGACTCCTCGTGGTCACTTGCCCTCTACTTCGAATTCCAATGCCTTCCTCATTGAGTGGTCTTCCGGTCTCCTCGGTACGTGCCCATACCATCGCAGTCACTGCTCTCGTGCTTTCAGCTGGATCGTAGCCGCCTGTGTTGACCGCCCTGACGTCCTCGTTTCTGACTCTGTCGAGTCGTGTCCAGCCGCAGGCCCATCTCAGCATCCTCATTTCAGCTGAGTGGAGCTGCCTTTCATGGTTCCTGAGGTGGGCCAGCACTCACTGCCGTGGAGCATTATGCTTACCACCGCCGGTAACACCTTGCCCGTTTTCGAGCACCGCCGGTTGCACAGGATGCCAGTGGACTCCCTCCATTTCATCCAGGCTGCGTTGATTCGGGTTTTCACCGCCTGGTCCACGCTGCCATCAGCTGCTAGGTCGCTCCCAGGTACTGGAAATCCTCGACCCTTTCGATGCTCTCGCCATGGCAGTCTACGATGGGTTCATTACACTCTCCAGAGCTCAGGAACTTGGTCTTCTTTACGTTCAGCCGGACTGTTACTGTTCTTTGCGTTCAGCGAGCACATCCTGCCACCGCTGCACCTTGTCCTGGAGTTCTCCCTGCTGTCCGCTATCAGGGCGATGTCGTCAGCGTAGAGGATGGTTTTCAGTGGTCCCTCCATGAGTTCTTTTGCCATGACATCTAGAGTCAGGAGGAAGAGGAACGGGCTGAGGGCTGATCCTTGGTGTACCCCAACCGTAATGTTTACCTCCTTTGTCAAGCCGTGAGGGGTGCGTACAGCTGCTTTAGCCCCATCGTACATGTCCTTCACTATGGAGACCAGGTGCTCCGGAACGTTACGTTCTCTAAGCGCTCTCCAGAGTACAGGCCGAGGCAGGCGGTCGAATGCCTTCTCAAGGTCCAGGAAGGCTAGGTAGCAGGGTCGCCGCTTCTCTCGGTACTTCTCCATCAGCTGTCTGGCGATGAAGATGGCATCAGTGGTGGACCTTTCGGGCATGAAGCCGAACTGTTCCTGCGAGATAGGGACAAGTTCCTCAGCCTAGTGTTGACCAGGCGCTCGTACAGCTTCATGGTATGGGGAGTCAACTTGATGCCGCGGTAGTTGGAGCACTCCGTCGCGTCCCCTTTCTGTTTGAAGATGGGGACGATTGTGCTGCTCCTCCACGCATCCGGCATCCTTCCTTCAGCCGTTACGTTGTTTAGGAAGTGTGTGAGCCAACTCACCCCATGCTCTCCAAGGGCCTTCCATGCCTCTATCGGTACCCCGTCTGGACCCACTGCTTTCCCAGCTTTCATTCTCCCTAGCTCCGGCGGACTTCATCCTCGTCCAGGGAGTGATGGGGCCTGCCGTCGCCTCTATCTGTGGGCTATCCTTGCGGGGAATTCTTCGTTCAGTAGTCCCTCGAAGTATTCTTCCCACCTCTTTCTGACTTCGGCTGGTTTCCTGAGAATGGCCCCGTTGCTGCTCTTCACAGTCTTTACGACCCTGATGTCCTGAGCAGCGCGATGCCGAGCTTTAGCCAGGCGGAAGACGAACTTGTCCCCTTCTCGGCCTTCCAGCTTCTCGTACAGGGCGTCCATTTCCGTATTCTTGGCCTTAGCAACGGCTGCCTTGGCGAGTCGCTTGCAGCTCTTGTAGGCAGCGAAGTCTTCTGCTCCTTGTCTTTTGCCAGCGTTTATATGCTTCCTTCTTCTGCTTGACGATCCCCTGGACTTCCTCGTTCCAGAACCAGGCTGCCTTGTCTCCTCTGATACCACCTCGCGTCTCTCCCAGGACTTCCTTGCACACTGTAGGATGACCTCTGCTGCGTAGGTCCAGGTGTCCTGGACTGGCCCATGTGGGTCTGGGAGCCCAGCCTCCAGTATTCTTCGGCCGAGGCTATCCTTTTCTACCCTGCCCATTTTCCACCACCGAATTCTCCGCTCTGCTCTCACCCTCGTCTTCTTGGGGGTCTATGGCGATGTCTGCAGGAGAGGCCTGTGCTGAGGGCCCAGCTCTTCCCCAGGCAGTACCTTGATATCCTTGACGGTTTTGAGAGACACGATCTTCTGACCGGGACATGGCTCGATTTCCATTTGTCTCCCTCCACTGCTGCACCTTATTTTTTGGGTCCTCCTCGCGAAGAAGGTGCTGCACATTGCTATGTCGTCGGCTGTGGCTAGGTCAAGGATCCATTCTCCCTCAGCGTTTCTTGCTCCTATTACTTGACCTCGGTGCACCCTTACTAAGCCCCCTTCTGTCACTTCCCACATGGCATAGACCTCCAGCTATGGTGAGGTAGTCATCTTCCGGAACCGATCTTATGGCCTCGTCCAGGGTCAGGTAGAACTCATCCTTTTCCGCCTCAGAGCAACCGGATTGTGGTGCGTACACGGTCAGTACTGTCCAGTACCCCTCCTTCGTCCATTTCATCCACGACTCCGCTCACTGGATTTTATTTCACAGAGGAGACGCCCTTGACGTTCTACCGCCGCATAGCGCCACTCCATTCGTTTGGCTTCTTTGGCCGAGGTCGTTCACACCTAGCCTCGCATACTGACCACAGAACTCGGGCGAGGGTTCTGCGCGTCACTTACGGGTCACGTCCTAGCTTTAAGATATATTTTTGCGACTTGTTATGATTGTTGTGACGGGTTCTCGGCCTGTCACTTGAGCCTCGCGCTGGTATCGTCCCATTTTTGGGCAATTTTCGCAAGGCATGGTTTGTGCCTCGGCAGGGTCGAACTCGCGGTTCAGAGTGCGAACATGAGTCCTTACTCTTAATCACTCAAGTATCCCTGTCTTTGGTGAAGTACAATTTTGTACGAGAATATTAGGATCTCGGCAAGAGTTGTAGTCGCGAAACGTGTTTTAAATAAGGAAGCACCGAGTTGGCCGTATGGTGGCACATATGCCTGTGTCGTGAATATGAGAATAAATATGCAAGTATTACAATGCCTGCTTTTATGAAGGGCCGACTTGGCCATAAAATCACTTGTGACAAAAATAGAAGGTAAGCAGTAGGCAATCTCACTATATATAAGATTGCCTACCTGCTTACCTTCTAAAGCAATAATGACCTATTTTAGATGCATCTCCTTGGTGATCCTGCATCCAGGTCGCTGTTCCAACAACCAACCCTCAAGGTATCATCTCCTCTAAGTTTCGTTTTTCATCAAAGCCATATTCTGACAACACAGTAATATAGTGGTTGGTGTAGATGAGAGTTTTTGCTCTGATCCAGCGGCCTGCTATTCTGACTTTTCCATTCGTTATTATGAGGTCAGGAATAATGAAGACTGCTGGTTTGTTTAACTGCGATATCACTTTCTAGTACTTCGAACCGTTTTTCTGGGCTGTTACAAGTCTGTGGAGAAATGCGCGGTTAGGGAGAACCTGCCGCTAGAAATTAGACGAAGTTTGAACGGATAGCCCACTGGTGCGTTGTACATTCTCCAGAGTCTCGAATTCTACACAACCAGAGTATGAAAGCGGAATGCCCGCCACATCCCTTTCATGATCGCCTGTAATAATTCTCCCAACAAACAACTTCCTGCCAGAAGGCACAGACGAACAGAATCACATGGCTTCGTCTCGGAGCACAGAAGAACGGACTCATTGGCCATGGGTGGTCCTTAACCTAACTAAATCGCAGTCCCGCATCTAGTCGCTATCTGTGCTCTCTTTCTCATCCTGCCAGTTTATTAGAGGCACGGCCCTCGATCTCCTATAGGTATCTAAATTTTTTTCGAAGCGGAACATAGTGGGAACCGCAACGAACTGATGTACAAGTTTGCATCAGAAAGTTTTAAGGTAGCGGCAGTAAGGCTTAAGGTTGTAAAACTGAAGAGGGACTCTGCCCACGTTTATAGACGTCTTGTCGACGGGCTTAGTCGTTTGCGTGCGCTCTCCCGAGAGATACATCGATCGCTTTTTCTCGCTTACCATAGAGAAAGCCTGATTTCTAGCGATTCCGACTTTTACCTTTGCATTTTTTATTCACGAGCAGTCAGCTCACTGCACGTGACAGTTCTTAATAATAGCGCGGAACCAGATTTCTCGCTGGCTCAACGGCGAATCTCTTTCTAACCAGCATGTTTCGTTCAAGAATGTTGGGTGATATTGTTCTTTACTCGCGAAACTCAATAGGAGTCGTTAATGAGAGCTCCTTTCATGTCAAATTCGATCATATTCGCTTTTCCAGGAAGTGGACTATCGCGCCTCTTGTGCATGTCATCATGAGCTCGTTTCCTCCGGTTGGGTTTGTTCGGTGTGCTTGTCTGTGCTTTGCCAATTTATGCCCATTTGCAAAGCATGCGGTAAGTTCCGCTCCCTCAGGTTTCGCTCTCCAAGTGTTGTGGTCATGACGTTTAGAAACTGTTTATTACAGAGCCATCTTTAAAGTGAACACTCTGCCACGAAAAACTCAGAAACGAAAGAGGAAGGAATAGATCTCGCTGTTGTTCTTGTTATCGAAATGTATAAATATTTGAGAGCAATAAAATACTTTGCTAACCGTTCTATACACGTACTTCACCCTTAAAGTTCACCAACATCATATTTATGCATCTATCTGCGTTTCTTGTCGTTGTTTATGTTGGCAACTTGTGCAAGTGCACGACATCGTTTGGCGGTGAAGTAAAGGAACAAGGCATTCACAGCGTAGGTCGAGATGCATACAAGGCAGACAGCACGCAATTTCACCAGAACTGCAACGGTAAAAATCACAAGATTCAGCAGCGTCAAATATGTCGACCCAATATAATTTCTTGTTAACTTTATTTAACATATTTACCCTATACCTGCAAGGATGAATCTCCTTTTTCTTGGGAAGCCCACGGCACAATCTTGCGGCCGTTAGTCAGAGTGCTTCTAAATTTTGCCATTGTATCTTTCCAGTCCAGCGTGAGACGACTGAGATTGGCGTCAGGTTCAGACTCGCGCGCATTGGTCCACGAGCCAGGGTGCTTCAATCGCCAAGCGGCTGCGCGCGCCGCAACGAAGAATCGTAATTGGTTCCGCGTTCAACACTGAGCAGTTTGAACTGTGGCGTTGTCAGCGGTGCAAGACGTTGGCGGTATAGCGCCGCGATTGAGGTCGCGCGACCCGGTCGAGCTATCCGATCGCGCGTCGCAAAGTCTGAACGCGACTTGTAGTGTCTTGTGATATATAATTTGTTTAATGCCAACTGATGGTAGTGACTAGTTCGTTTTTTTGTTGAGAGTCTACCGAGCTTTTTCGACTTCTCGTTGCGCAGATGCTCTAGAGTTATCGCGCACTTACGTACTCCACACATCACTCCTTTTTCAAAAGGAGTTTCTGAATCGGAGTTAAAGGCAGCGTCCGCGATCAACCAAGGTGAAAAAACCCTGTACTAAACAAGATTGCGCGAAGCTCTGCAAACGCATAGAATCCAGTCCTGCGACTCGAAATCGATTGATAAACGGAGGGCGGAGTCAACAATGATAAGCTGACCCCGCCTGTCCTGTATACTCGAAATCCCTGAGATGGGGTAGGCGTGGATGCGTACTTGATTTTAAAATGGCGGCGGCCCAGGTTTTCGTGAAATATTGTCATTTTGGGGCACTCCTATCATGTATACATCTAACACAGGACAAGATAGCAGTTGTTTCAAATTTAAGTATCCCACGAGAAACCCGTCGCCATGCTCAAAAGCCACGCTTACTCCGTCTGCAGGCATAAGCAGTGTAAATCTGCACCCTGTACTTTAGTTTCCCTTACCAATCCTCGCTGGCACTGATAACCGCTAAATTTCTAGCGTTCGTTTCGTACACTGATAAGAGATTAACTCATAGATTAATTATCAGTGCCAGCGATAACTAATTAGATAAGATAACCTAGGTAGTGGCCTCATGAAAATGAGCCGCAACGAGGAGGCGACCTGTTTTTGGAGACTCACCCCAAAAATCTGCGAAACTCGTCGCAGATGCGTCTGTATCGGACACGGGCTATTCCATGTTGCTTGCAGGGCCCTTTTTTCGATACTTTTTTGAATCAGTGCTTCATTGCCACCTGTTCTAGACAATCTACCCTAAACCTGCCAAAGTCGATCGCGGGCGCTGTCTTTAAGTAGCAGGGATTAGTTCACGCACTTCAGTTTGACATTTGAGTCCGGCTGTATCTCACCTACAGTGTGATGATGTTTCAAAGACAAACCCCGCGACAGTATTTTGTTGATAGTGGCGTTCATTTAAAAACCCATAGTCGCTAAATGACTCTCCAGGGAAAAAGAGCAAAAAAGTCATGGGGAACACCCTGAATAAGGACCTCTGGTAGCCTCACTGTGTAGGTGTTCCCGGGACCTGCTCGTTTTATGCCACGGAAGCAATATCCTGTTGTCTCTGACTCATCGTTTCTTACGTCATCCAATGCTGATACCATCTAACAGAGGAAAAAAACGAAAAACTGGTGTAAAGACTGAACTCGTGACGATAGCCATTGAGTTTCGGTGGGCTGGACAAGGGTAGAGGCATCAAAACTGCCATTTATGCTGGCCATAGCGCTTTCGTTACTCACTGTGAAGCAGAAAATGAGAATCTTAGAGAGTGAGGGCCAAAATATTCGTACAAGGGCAATTTTTTTGAGCGCGTGGACTGTCTTTAAACTCATTTGACTTCACTACTGTGATACACTCACTTGTGAGGAGGTAAATGGACAGAAAGTTCAAAAGAATCGCTGCCACCATTGAGATAGTTGCAGAGCACTGGGTATGTGAAAGCTGAAGCATCGCTAACACTGCATATCCAATCACTCCGTAGAAGGCATTTTTCTGGAGATAAATTAGTTGAAATTTGACAAGAAGGAGTAAGAAGTTGGAGGGTCACCTGATTGAGAGGACTGTCTTCTCCAAGCAGTGGTCCTATAATGCCAAAACCTGAGCTGTCTTTGGAAGTGAGTACCCTGGTGCATGAGACCAGAGGCGAGACATCGCACATTGCCGAGTACTCGTGGTCCATTTCAAAGCGAATTTCAACGTATAGCCCTTAAAAACCTAACGATGTATTACTCATCGTTAAACGATTGTTATCATTTATATATTTTTTATTTTATAATAGAACTATACCTACCATACATAGAGATGATTAGGCCGGCAAGAAGGGTATAAAGGGCTCGTCTCGTCGCAACAGTTGCCTCGTTGGTCCATTGAGATGCTGATATTGCCATCTATAAACGTGCGTAATTACAGCTCGCGTCGCTGGGTTAATTTAAAAGCTAAAC